TGGGGTCGAAGTTATGGGTAGCGGCAGCATAAAAAGCCATTTTGTTCGGTTTGTATTTGTCAATCCATGTTGGGGTAAGTGTGGATTGGGAGCGGTAGCGGAAGCAGAGGACTGGTTTGTTCTGGGAGGATGAGTTGAACCCGTAGGTGTCGCTATTGGCGCGACAAACAATGCAGATAGTGAAGTATGGGTCACGACATGGTCGACATTCACAGGAACCAAATCTGCATCGGTATCCCAGGGAAAGGGTTCGGACGAAGGTTCATTGATATTTGCTATGAACATTGCTGAACCATTAGGATGCAAAACATAGTGTGCCTTCCAAAATCTTGGTTGCAATGAGAAGTTGTTGTCCCTGGAACTCCTCATAAGAGAGCAGGAGAAAGAACAAAGCCTTTCCAGGTTTGTCTTCAGAAGGTTTTCCAGGAGGCCAACCAAAAGTTCCTCCCATAAACCAGCATATTCTTGGTCATCTCTAGGAACTCGCAATGGCAACTTGTAAAGCGCAAACCTACTGTCATGCATATTTGGCCATGCCCGGTAAGAAGATAGCTTCACAGTTGATGCTTTTAACGTTAGCCTTACTGTGTCACTCAATCTAAGGAATTCTTGAAGCCGTGTATGCCTAATCTCACCGCTTGACATAAGCTTCTTCTTGGAAACTGAATGATTACCATTCATTGAATTTGATCTTCCAAGCATTTGCTTAATGTCATTCCAGAAATATCCCCTAAGGCATTTCCTCTTGATGTACTGGGAATTTTTCTCCTAATATAAAAACCCTAACTTTAAAAAACCTCAATATGGTGTTTTATTAACAGGTCAGCACCGTATAAAACAATATATTGACACGTTGCCATAACTGGTGCCAGATCATCAATGCACTAACTTCGTTTGGTTATACTTAACGGAAGGAACAAATTAGACCCAAATTTTACTAACTGTGGACATATTTCAAACACTTTTAAAAATGAGGACTGAATTGACATTGTCCAACGAAAGTGGAGACCAAAGAAGATATTAAGCCTTAAAAAAACAACTGACATATAACATACATTTTTCATTATCAATTAATTATTTATACGATGTTAACAAAAAGGACTAGATTAAACAAAACTCACAAAAATTAAGACCTAATTGAAAAAAAAATATTAGGATCAAATTGAACAATCTCAACAAAAATTGAAACCAAATTAGTATTTAAACAAAACTTTTTCATCATTACTCAAATACTATGATATGTGTTTGAAGCAAAATAAGATATATGAAATTGACTAATTATTTTGATATGTTGATCAATCTCGTTGTTCTCTGGGTCATGTNGTGGGGACGTGGGTGTATCAAACACACAATTTTTTTCTTCTTAAATACTAGTTTCTATTTTTATTGAGTTTGGTTCTTATTTTTGTTAATTTAGTCATTTGTTAATGTTATATAAATAATTAATGATGAATAATGTAGGTCAAATATCGTGATGTTTTTTACATATTTTACAATATTAAAATAAATCATTAAAATTATTATTATTGTGACAGAGAAAACAAGAAAAGGAAAATCTAAAAAAAAGTTATTTCAACAAAAAGAAAAATTATATTTAAATTTGACAATTTTATTTTATAATCTATTAATATAATGTTATCACATTTTTATTTAATAGTTTGTGTGATTGTTAATCTCTTAAAATTTTAAATCAACAGTTGTCATTTTTTTTTATTTTCATTCTAATGGTAAATCAATTCTAATCTTACATTAGAAATATTTAATAAAAATATTAGTATAACATTTATATAAAAAATAAATTTAATCTCAATTTAAAAAGGGTCAAAATTGTTCTATTTTAAAAAAAATAACTCAATCGTATGAAATTAACGAATATATGGATCAAATTGAATATAAAACACTAAAACATGACACTACACTAACATGTGACACTCTTACAATCACATGGCACGCTACTCGATTAACACGAACATTTGTTAAAGTTAAAATAATTAAAAAAAGGCTTAATACCCTTTTTGGTTCCCACTTTCGTTGGACAATGTCAATTCAATCCTTATTTTTAAAAGTGTTTGAAATATGTTCCCAGTTAGTAAAATTTGAGTCTAATTTGTCCCTTCCGTTAAGTATAACCAAACAGAGTTAGTGCATTGATGAAAAAAGATATAGTTTTTTAGGGTTTTTTAATTTGGGGAAAATGTGATTTAGGGCATAGACAGGGTGGGTCTTCTTCCTCTCCTTCCCCTCAAGTCGCTACAGTAACCGTGGAGCTTCACTAGGTTCGCGTGGTGGTTCGAGGAGAGGATGAAGATCTCGTTACAGAAGGACTTGGTAGAGAACAGGATGGAGGAGTGGTTGCGGGGGAGGTACTTCACCGCCGCAAGGCGACCATCACAAAGCTGCGCAAGGTAGACGGACTCAAACCCGCCGTTCCTGATTTTCCGCTTGGGGTCGAAGTTATGGGTAGCGGCAGCATAAAAAGCCATTTTGTTCGGTTTGTATTTGTCAATCCATGTTGGGGTAAGTGTGGATTGGGAGCGGTAGCGGAAGCAGAGGACTGGTTTGTTCTGGGAGGATGAGTTGAACCCGTAGGTGTCGCTATTGGCGCGACAAACAATGCAGATAGTGAAGTATGGGTCACGACATGGTCGACATTCACAGGAACCAAATCTGCATCGGTATCCCAGGGAAAGGGTTCGGACGAAGGTTCATTGATATTTGCTATGAACATTGCTGAACCATTAGGATGCAAAACATAGTGTGCCTTCCAAAATCTTGGTTGCAATGAGAAGTTGTTGTCCCTGGAACTCCTCATAAGAGAGCAGGAGAAAGAACAAAGCCTTTCCAGGTTTGTCTTCAGAAGGTTTTCCAGGAGGCCAACCAAAAGTTCCTCCCATAAACCAGCATATTCTTGGTCATCTCTAGGAACTCGCAATGGCAACTTGTAAAGCGCAAACCTACTGTCATGCATATTTGGCCATGCCCGGTAAGAAGATAGCTTCACAGTTGATGCTTTTAACGTTAGCCTTACTGTGTCACTCAATCTAAGGAATTCTTGAAGCCGTGTATGCCTAATCTCACCGCTTGACATAAGCTTCTTCTTGGAAACTGAATGATTGCCATTCATTGAATTTGATCTTCCAAGCATTTGCTTAATGTCATTCCANTTGCAAGTAATCCTCCACAATTCCACTCAACACATCACGTAAGAGTAAAACATGACAAAGAAAAGAGTAGAACATATGAGCAAGAGGCCCTTTATTCAATTGCATTGTATTATTGTAACTGCATGAATGCAAATTTAAAAGTTGGACAATTCTTGCCTAACATAGAAAAGGCCAGAAGGGGAACCATCAGGAAAAAGTGCCAATCTCACAACACTAGCAGCACCTTCATCAACTGATAAGATGCCAGAGTTTTTGTTGATGTCTGTTTTCACAAAACCCGGGCACAGACTGTTAATAATCATGTTTTGATGCTTCTTTGCTAGAATCCTTGTGTATGAATTCATGGCTGCTTTTGAGACAATATAGGCAGATACCAAGGTTGGCCAGCCTTTAGTTTCTAAGGAATCTTCTTTGAAGTCTTTGATAAACTCTCTGAGCACCTCGTCTATTTTCTCTTCTGTAAGATTTTCAGCATCATTAAGCACCCCTTTAGCCCATTCGTTTGCTATGTTCTGAAACATCATCATAACAAAATTTTGCCAACGTTTAGAAGGGAAAGTAAACCATCTTTCAAATGAATTGTTTAGGCATTCTTATACCTTTAACAATCCCGATTGGGAGGAAACATTCACAATCCTTGGAGAGTTGGATAATTGCAGAAGGGGAAGAAATGCCTCAGTTACTTGCTTTGCACCATAGTAGTTTGTTGTTAGGCACTTTTCAACCATCTCATAAGTTTGAGTGAGTTCCCCCCAGTTAAATGCTGATCCCTCCTCCTGAATTCATGTTGAAGAAACTCCAAAAAACATTAACAGAGGCTCCACAGAGACAAATATACATACATATACACACTCACCACTTCATCCAGATTGACACCATTTATTCCTGCATTGTTCACCTACACAAAAATTTGTTATTCTTAAATGGTTAAAAATTGAGTTGTCATATGAAGCTAAACAATAACAATTAAGACAAATACCACATTCCATCATATTTCCAAATTACAATTCACTAATTTGCTGTTTTACTGATAGCAAAAGAAATGAGAAACTGGGTCTTACCAAAATATCAAGTTTCCCAAACTGTGTCTTAACAAATTCTACTAGAGAACGAATACTAGCAGAGTGAGTGACATCGAGCTGGTGAAAAGTCACCAAATCAGAGAGACCATAATCTTTCAATTTCCCAATGGCTTCTTGGCCTCTGTTCTCATCTCTGGCAGTGAGCACCACCTTCACTCCATTTGAGGCCAACTGTTTAACAGTCTCAAACCCTATCCCTTTATTTGCTCCAGTTACAACAGCATACCTTTCACATCAAACCACACACATTTCTACAAATCATGTAAACATTCATAATAGTGTTTGATCTCATTAGAAAAATAAGACCGGCACAAATAATTTTTCTCTCCTGGTTTTGTAGACTGGACTTTAATTCAAATTATAAAGTAAACAATCATGTTAATTCTAGAAATTGAAACAAGCTATTGCATTAGTTTCTGAATTTAAAAAAAAAAATTCAAACAAGTTCTTAAACTTAGGTTTCCAAGTCACATTTTTAAACTTTTGATCTAATACCACTGTAAATTTGTATTTTCAGGAAACCCTTTCTTTGGATCTGACAGGTGTTAGTTTTTATCAGCAAAAGATTCAAACTTGTTATATCTATCCCTCATCTTCAGGAACTTAGAGACGAATTTAAAAGTAACTTCAATTAAATTGGTGTTCATTCCAAGATACAAGAGTGGTACGTAGGAATAGTGTGGTCATGTCTACATGAAGAAAGCATGGACTAAAGGGGTGAAATACTAACCTTAGATTTTGCTCTGCCATAGAAATGCTGAAACTGAATGGATGTGTTAATAATGTTAGTGGTTTTCCCCAAAACCAGGTGGCAAATATAATGAAGTGTACCAGCTTATTTTATAGTCGATGATGTTTTTTTTGGTAGCTTCGTTGACTGGGACACTTACAAAGTTTTGTAGTGGCGGTGGAACATTGGTGCAAGTGGGGACGTGGGTGTATCAAACACACAATTTTTTTCTTCTTAAATACTAGTTTCTATTTTTATTGAGTTTGGTTCTTATTTTTGTTAATTTAGTCATTTGTTAATGTTATATAAATAATTAATGATGAATAATGTAGGTCAAATATCGTGATGTTTTTTACATATTTTATGATATTAAAATAAATCATTAAAATTATTATTATTGTGACAGAGAAAACAAGAAAAGGAAAATCTAAAAAAAAGTTATTTCAACAAAAAGAAAAATTATATTTAAATTTGACAATTTTATTTTATAATCTATTAATATAATGTTGTATCACATTTTTATTTAAAAGTTTGTGTGATTGTTAATCTCTTAAAATTTTAAATCAACAGTTGTCATTTTTTTTTATTTTCATTCTAATGGTAAATCAATTCTAATCTTACATTAGAAATATTTAATAAAAATATTAGTATAACATTTATATAAAAAATAAATTTAATCTCAATTTAAAAAGGGTCAAAATTGTTCTATTTTAAAAAAAATAACTCAATCGTATGAAATTAACGAATATATGGATCAAATTGAATATAAAACACTAAAACATGACACTACACTAACATGTGACACTCTTACAATCACATGGCACGCTACTCGATTAACACGAACATTTGTTAAAGTTAAAATAATTAAAAAAAGGCTTAATACCCTTTTTGGTTCCCACTTTCGTTGGACAATGTCAATTCAATCCTTATTTTTAAAAGTGTTTGAAATATGTTCCCAGTTAGTAAAATTTGAGTCTAATTTGTCCCTTCCGTTAAGTATAACCAAACAGAGTTAGTGCATTGATGAAAAAAGATATAGTTTTTTAGGGTTTTTTAATTTGGGGAAAATGTGATTTAGGGCATAGACAGGGTGGGTCTTCTTCCTCTCCTTCCCCTCAAGTCGCTACAGTAACCGTGGAGCTTCACTAGGTTCGCGTGGTGGTTCGAGGAGAGGATGAAGATCTCGTTACAGAAGGACTTGGTAGAGAACAGGATGGAGGAGTGGTTGCGGGGGAGGTACTTCACCGCCGCAAGGCGACCATCACAAAGCTGCGCAAGGTAGACGGACTCAAACCCGCCGTTCCTGATTTTCCGCTTGGGGTCGAAGTTATGGGTAGCGGCAGCATAAAAAGCCATTTTGTTCGGTTTGTATTTGTCAATCCATGTTGGGGTAAGTGTGGATTGGGAGCGGTAGCGGAAGCAGAGGACTGGTTTGTTCTGGGAGGATGAGTTGAACCCGTAGGTGTCGCTATTGGCGCGACAAACAATGCAGATAGTGAAGTATGGGTCACGACATGGTCGACATTCACAGGAACCAAATCTGCATCGGTATCCCAGGGAAAGGGTTCGGACGAAGGTTCATTGATATTTGCTATGAACATTGCTGAACCATTAGGATGCAAAACATAGTGTGCCTTCCAAAATCTTGGTTGCAATGAGAAGTTGTTGTCCCTGGAACTCCTCATAAGAGAGCAGGAGAAAGAACAAAGCCTTTCCAGGTTTGTCTTCAGAAGGTTTTCCAGGAGGCCAACCAAAAGTTCCTCCCATAAACCAGCATATTCTTGGTCATCTCTAGGAACTCGCAATGGCAACTTGTAAAGCGCAAACCTACTGTCATGCATATTTGGCCATGCCCGGTAAGAAGATAGCTTCACAGTTGATGCTTTTAACGTTAGCCTTACTGTGTCACTCAATCTAAGGAATTCTTGAAGCCGTGTATGCCTAATCTCACCGCTTGACATAAGCTTCTTCTTGGAAACTGAATGATTACCATTCATTGAATTTGATCTTCCAAGCATTTGCTTAATGTCATTCCAGAAATATCCCCTAAGGCATTTCCTCTTGATGTACTGGGAATTTTTCTCCTAATATAAAAACCCTAACTTTAAAAAACCTCAATATGGTGTTTTATTAACAGGTCAGCACCGTATAAAACAATATATTGACACGTTGCCATAACTGGTGCCAGATCATCAATGCACTAACTTCGTTTGGTTATACTTAACGGAAGGAACAAATTAGACCCAAATTTTACTAACTGTGGACATATTTCAAACACTTTTAAAAATGAGGACTGAATTGACATTGTCCAACGAAAGTGGAGACCAAAGAAGATATTAAGCCTTAAAAAAACAACTGACATATAACATACATTTTTCATTATCAATTAATTATTTATACGATGTTAACAAAAAGGACTAGATTAAACAAAACTCACAAAAATTAAGACCTAATTGAAAAAAAAATATTAGGATCAAATTGAACAATCTCAACAAAAATTGAAACCAAATTAGTATTTAAACAAAACTTTTTCATCATTACTCAAATACTATGATATGTGTTTGAAGCAAAATAAGATATATGAAATTGACTAATTATTTTGATATGTTGATCAATCTCGTTGTTCTCTGGGTCATGTTAGTTCAACTTCAGGATAATAAATATGTAATTTATGTCTCTCTTTGTTAAAAAAAATCGTGACCTATACAAATAATTTAACTCTTTAATGTGGTTATTTTCATTGAACTATAACACTCTTTAAATATGTTTAAATAGAGTCTTATGTTAAATACAAATAATAAAAACTAAAAACAATTATCAACTAACTTAAAATAAAAAACTACTTATCCCTATCTTATATCAACAAAATAAAATAATGTTATACCTAAATAAATGAAAAATCAAAACAACCTATTTCTATTTTACTTTTAACAAAAGTAAAATAAATATTACTTATTTTATTTTTATCAAAATCAAAATAAATATTACTATACTCAAACTAATAAAATAAGATTCAAACAAAATTATTAATAAATACCTAAAATTTAAGTTTATCCTAATATCTCTTATCTCTTACCTCTTTATTTTGGACCTCTTTATAGTTTTGTAATGGACTTTTTATTATAGTGAGTCTATTTACACCCCAAACTCCACTAATCTTGATTAAGGCTTTAGTTAGAATGGTTTTTTGCTTTAAATCGTTCCATTTGGACCATTAAGTTTTTCTAGTAAAAATGTCATCTTAGCCACTCTTTAGTTAGTATGGTAAAATATCATCTCAGTTGCTTGATTAATATTATAAAAATACCATCTGAGTTTGGCCAAATGATGAGTTGACTATTGGTTAACTCGTTGATCGAACAAGACATATTGTACACAAACTTTCCAAGCTCGAACATAATCAAAGAGTTATAAAAAGGTTTAAGTACAAGACAATAACTCTTAACATTGATAATATCACCTGTCACACCACGATACCTAGCATGTGAAAAATAAACTTTTTTACTAAAAAACAAAAAAAAACTACTTTGACATTGATAATAATATTAGTTGTAATATATTATCGAAAAAGAACTAATTTAGTGAATTTTTCAAAAATTGTTACTCAGTTGAAGAAAAAAAAAAATATAAGTAAAAACCAACTTTTTAATCAAACAAGTAACTAAGCCTTATATATTAACATTTTAGTTTTTTGTTCTTTTGTCTTTAATTTTGAATTGTACTACTTTTCTACTTCAAGTGTCAGTTAGTTTTCTTCTTCAATAAAACATTATCCAAAGGCGTAATTTATAATTTTAGTTTTTATAAAATAACGTTTTGGATTTGGTCCTTTGCATTTATGGACTTGCATTGTTAATACGAGAGTGTTTCTTTATCAGTTTCGTGTGACTTTTTTTTATTATTAGTTATTGTACTGTATGGCCTGTGTATTGTATGGACGGGTCGGGTCCAGGAGCAATTTCGAGACTCGGTCAACCACCAGCGTTTCTCCCATCTTACTCTTAACAGCATGGGAGGGCGGCTGTTTGTGTAGAGATTCACTTCACACGCTGTCATTTGACCGACCGTTCCACCATTCTGAAGTAATGTTGGTTTATCACTCGGACGACCTATTAACACTAGTGCAGAAACGGGCATAGACGTCCGTTCTTTAGGCCTTTTAACGTTCGACCTCCAACGGACGTCTATTCGGGTGACGTCTATGTAGACGTCCGTTGTGTCAGGTCGGACGTCTATATGGACGTCCGTTGTGTTCGGCCGGACGTCTATATGGACGTCCGCTGTGTCAGCCCGGATGTCTATATAGACGTCCGCTGTGAACCTCTCGGACGTCTATATACTACTGCAGAAAGGGCTTTATTAGACGGCTTATTTAGGGTTATTTAGGATTACGGGTTAGGATTATTTAGGATTACGGGTTTGAACGTTTGTTTGTGCACTGCAACACGTCTGAAGAACAGATTCAAAATGAAAATGGAGGAAGATGGAGGAGTAAACGACCTAAAAATGTAGGCCAAAAAACGCCGCCCACGAACACGCAACAAACTGCACCAAAATGCACCGAAAACGATTTTTAATCGGTCCAAATGAAAGATATGTCATCACTGAACAATTTAATCGGAACAAAAGTAAGATTAAATGGACCAAAACGCATAAAAACCAACCTGGAAATGCAAGGCGCAGAGGGAAAGGTTCGCATAACTCCTCGCGGGTTCGCGTTTTGAAGTGTGTATCTTTATTTTAAACGTCTTTTGAACGTCCGTCCTGGAGGGGGACGGACGTCCATATATAATAGACGTCCGTCCCCCTCCAGGACGGACGTTCAAGAGACTGACAGGGTAGTACAACCCCTCAGTCTCTTGAACGTCCGTCCTGGAGGGGGACGG